CGTGTTGACTTATAGCTATAACAGTAATGTTTTGGAGGCACATAGGTTATCTTTGGCATTTACTCTTTCGTTAATACCATAGATTAATGCATAACTTGGGCTTTCGGTTGAGAGCAGAGTCGGATATTTGGTGTTATCGTTTCGGTAAACAATGAAGTTGTCATTTTCAAGGTGAATGAGGTGGAGTAATTTCAGAATGCCATTTGAAATGATGCGACTCTCCGAAAGCCGAACTCCAGTCGCGAAAACCTACTGACAAAACCACTGATTAAAGTCAACTTCATCACTCCCCACTTTGGCGAACAGGACGTATAACCAGGCAAGATAATTCACAGCTAACACATCGTCTGTATTTGTACTCTCTGATTTCCGCTTATTCCCTCCAAAATTTGACAGCCCTTAATCGTACGTTGTATGGTCAAAGCAGTATTATTATTGTCAATAGGAGTATTAGTTTCAATATGTTTGAGTGGGTTAATACGAAAGTAGCATTACGAGATCTTCAAGAGGTTTTGATGTGTAATATATGGTAAGTCCTTTATGGTGAAACAGCCTAAAGTGTTAATTACATGTTCATCACAGTAAGCAACAGAGACAGACAGCTTACAGCAAAAAGCTTCAACTGGAATCTAAATTCTTTCACAGAGAGGTTTTAACTACATATGGTAGATTTTAAAATAGACGTGGTGGGTACCTTCGTTTCAGAAGAACATTGTGCTTCCATCCTCCAAGTGGAACATATTGTTTTTTCCCCTTCGATATTCATGTATCCCACCTTTCATAAGTGTTGTACAGTTTTAGTTTCAATGTGTTTAGGATAAAGCTTAAAAGAGGTAACGTAAAAAACTTGTAATTATATCTGTTTCCAGGAATACAGTTGTGTACTGTTATAATGAAATATGACATTATTCATTATCATAGCAAGAAGATACCTAATGATCCTGTTAATTACAACATGTGTGGTCACTTCTTCTGCAAGGCCTGTGTAAGAAATGATAAAAATACTTGCCCTATGTGTGGGATTCCTTCTCTTGCCGTGGAGATCACATCTGATAGACTCATTGCAAATTTGATTATGGGCTGGAGAAAAATATGCAGTACTATAGGATTCAAAAGGTAAATACAAAATTTTGCTATGCCATAGGTTCAAAAGAAATTCAGTAATACAGAATTTAATGATCACTGAATTTCTTAGAAGAAAAGATACACGTACAATCCCTTTTAACAGTCTTAACTTTTTACGGTATGATATTTACACTCTATGGTTGCATTCTCTTTGCTATTTTGTAATGAAGGTAAGGTTGCCTTTTATGTTACTCTTATTGGCCTCATTTGTATCACACTGTCTTTGGGGTGGAAGTGAGTTAAGATGAGGATGTGGGTTGTTTTTATAAGGGATGGGTGGCCAGTAGAAATGGGGGAAGAGATACATGGATGAAGGGAGGGCCATTGGGAATGGTGATAAAAGGAAGAATGCTGATTCATAGGCCCGGAAAAGGGCTCCTTCCAGGATGGCACTATAAGAACCAATGGACGGAGTGAAGGTGAGTGAAAATAATTTATGAAACAGAAAGGAGGGTAAAGGGTAGTGGTCACTGTGGATAAAAGTAAAAGGTCTAAAGAAGGTGGTGGTCTGAGGAAATAGTTATAAAAGGTAGAAGGGTGACTAAAAGACCCTGAAAAGAGGAAATTTCAAAAAGTTCTTAAAGGGAGAACTTCGATAGGAGGCTTTTATGAAGATTATGGCCACGGGAAGGTCGAGTGGAAGTGCATGCTGTGTCCTTGATGTGTCTGCCTTTCTTCCCTTCAGAGTGGGAATTAAAGTTTTCTTATGACCTGCTCAGTGAGAAACCATCATCCATGTTAATATTTGAGGGATGTTATGTCCCTAATGGTGTAGTCCATGTGTATGCATTTTTTGTCAGCAGCTGGATGTGATGGTTCAGATTTATACTATGTTCTACCACATCTGACTCCTGCATATTATAAAGATGGATTTGCTACTTCTTCTTTGACCCTGGTCTGAATTTTGAATGTGTGGTTTGTCCTAGTTACACTGTCATGCACTTGCAAGGGGTGCTCCATCCTCTTTGGCCATCTGTTTCCATAACCCTTCTTTTTCTTTCGCCGTTCCCATTTGCCACTGTCCCAATATACAGGAAATCCATATTCACGTCTTGGCCCGCTTATACCTTGAAAGTCGAGGCAATCGGTATGTTTTTCCAAAATGTTGGTAATCACCTACAACATTGCATGGTACCACATCCCATAAAAACATAATCTACAAGCTTGCAGTTGTCATACAGACACATGTCTGTGATGAAATTTTAAATTGTTGCCCTTACTGTTGAAAGTGAAAGAAGGCCTCATCCTCCATTTCAAAACAGATGGCTTTGCCTTTGCACATTCTCAGATTTCTGCTTTACCTAATAACTGTCAACTTCCAGAGTATAGTTTGCACATTGTTCATGGTCAAAATTATTTTCTTTTAGTCCTTGTTATTTACCTGTCAGTGGTCTGACCATTTGACATGGTCATTTACAAAGTTTGTGGTGAAATCCGTGTATCATGAAATGAGTAGTCACATACACTTTTCTCTTTTCTGGGACCTATCACAGTCACTAATTTAACAGCAGTTAAAAAAAATTCATTTCAGTAGTGATGTGGCATGATCAGACAAGTCAAAATAGATGGAACAGTTACATGACCAGTTGGATCCAGGTCTCCATTTCAAAGCTTTGTCATTAATTTTTGTCAGTCACCTGTTGCAAATGCAGTGTTTGGTTTTACAGTGGGCCTCCTGGAAGGACAAAATTGAATTGTCCTTTGTGATAATTTTGTAAAGCTAAAGCTGTTCAGTAATCATGGCACATTCAAGAATGCAGTGAAGCATAGTATTAAGCAACTTTTAATAATAGTTAGTTGTTAGATCTTTAACAACATTGCATTTTCTTGTCTGCAGCAGTATTGATTGTTTGGATGATAAAAAGGCTGTATGTGGTGATAAAGTTCATGCCAAAGAATCAGAAGTTAAGAATGGCTCTGGAAAGTGTTCAGATAATAAAGAGGATATTAAGGTTTCTTATAGAACTGCAGATATATTTCCTGATAGAAGCAGTTTAACAGGAGAAGAACCAATGAGAAAGAAAGGAAGGCGCAACAAAGGTCAAGAGCCTTGCATATCTGATACTCAGAAATCTTCAACCATCACAGTTGTGAGGAAATCTCGAGTGTTTAGAAATTCTGCTGCAAAAGGCATATATAAACGGAATGTAAAAGGAGAAACACAACTGCATGTTGCTTGCCTAAAGGTTGGTTTTATTGTGGTGTAATTATTAGTCATAGCATAAAATTTATATTTGATCATATAGTGTGGTATTATGTCATTCTGAATAATAAGTTTTCTTAAAGGCAATGAAAATTGGTTACTGTTTTTACAAAATAGTACCAGGAAGGGTTTCTTGGCAATTGGTTCCAACAGGATAACATCTTGGCCTTAGGGAAGAGAAATTTGAATCATTCTGTGCTACATGAAATGTTAAGGAATGTGCTGTAAGGTGTCAACTGAATTCAGCTGGCAGAGGTGGGTTTGTGTACTATTCCTTTATGGTACCAAATGGTTTGTCACCATTATCATAAAACCCCACTACTGAACCCTGTCCAGAGCCACCTGAACCCAGTCCACACCTTCACACCTGTTTCTGTAAGTTCCAATTTAGTATTCTACTACCACCAATGGTTTTTGGCTATTATGGGTTTGACTCCTGGCATTTAAGTATAATTTTTCTTTACCATTGCTTCTTATTTGTAGGGTAAAGTTGAGGAAGTGAAAGCTCTTCTTTTAGATGGAGCAAATCCTAACACCAAGGACTATGCTGGTTGGACACCTCTAGTAAGGTTCTTTTTACATTCTTCCATACTCTAATATATATGAGTGTATACACCTTTCTTACTGTATTTATCAATACAGTGATGTCCAGTTTTATGTGATTATCTTTGTTTAATGCTTATGGGCTGTCTGGCATCCTTAAAAAGAGGAGACAAATGTGACTTTTATTTTACATTCCTCATTTATAATTCAGGATGGGCTTATGATATGTCCATGTGTATTTCTGTCTGTTCCATGAATAATTTTGAATAATATGGATTTTCATAAGACTTTCGACATCATGCTATTAGAGACCACCCCATATTAATTCCCTGGCGTTAATAATATCAATATGGCATCAGTGCAGTCTTCTCAGATGGAAGTAACAGCATCATTCAATGTAGGATATTAAAATATGTAATAATAGCTGTTTCAGTAATATGCAACTATTAATGATTTGTTATACAGTATAAAATTACAAAATAGTGACCACAGAAATTTTTTATTAGCTTTCTCTTTCTGTAGCAATGTCTAATAAACCATTGAAAGTAGGGTTGTGAAATACTTTTTGGAGAGAGATCATACAAAATTTGTATGTACAAGGTATCTAAACTAAATCCATGTGTCAGATTAATTGCACTGGATGGGGGAACAGCTGTCAGAAACTGTTCTGGCATGTTAATTGCATGTCCAGGAATGTTTACTGCTCATTCCACTGTAAGTTAATTCTGCTTACCATTTAATGTCTGAGTGTTTTTGTCATGTCAGTTTAATGAAAATGAGGTTACAGAAAATATGTGTGCATTACATTTTGTGAGAAGATGAGAAATATTACGACCAAGACTTATCAACTGTTGAAAAAAGCATTTGGTGTTTCCATGTGTCATAGCTTACATGTGTTCCTGTGGACTGTACATCACACTAGTATACCACTAAATCATTAAAGTACAGCTGGCAACCCATGTAACTCCAAACTAAGCAGTAAGATCCTAAATTAATTTCTATATGGTTCTAGACTTAACCAAATTAAGAAGCTAAGTATGGTACTAATTTTATGATTTACATTTAGATGGCACAGTAAAAAAGTGATGTAAGTAACAAATCAGATAACCATTACAAATACAATGTTGTTGTTATTTTAGCTGGATGCTGTGCATTATGGTTTTATTGGTATCACAGAGCTTCTGCTGAAATATGGTGCAATGGTGAATGTGCCTGGCTGTGACAATATTACACCTCTTCATGAAGCGGTACTGAACAACAAATTGGAAGCAGTAAAACTGTTACTAATGTATGGTGCTGATCCTGATGCCTGTGATGTCAAAGGGAGGACACCAAAGTACGTGATTATTACATTTGTATATCTGTCCAGCATATGAGCGTATGCACAGATGTATTGTACCTGTATTTATATTAAGTGTAGCCAACTGTCATGCATACAAATTTGCATCAAAAAGTTATTTTAATCTCCAAATACAGTACTTCCACTGATGAAATTGAATGTAATTCTCACTTCCTGCTTTCCAGTAGTGGCAACATGATTTATCATAAAGGTCACTTACTGCCAGTGCAGCTGTGTCTGACATTGTTTTAAGTACTGGTTATTCTTACATGTTTGGATGTTGTTTGATATACTGTTGAAAAGCAAGTTTTTCTATGTGAATTGTATGTGAAATGTGGTCTGCTAGAAAGTGTCCACAAACCAGGTCTACTGGGTCATTTCTGGACAAGATGCCTACATAATGCTAAAGCCAAAATCACTGACATCTTGCAGAGTAGACCAGTATCTCAAAATCGTCAGCAGCCAAGGTAACAAAGCTGCTTAAACTTTGGTGATACAAGGTAACTGTAGTTCGTGCTTTGCAGTCAGATGATTGTTAGCAGGATTCATTTATGCTACTAGTTTTTATAATCAGTACATGCTGATGAAGTTGACTCTCATTTGACTTTTTTCTGATAAAAATTTGGAAGTTCCTCAGGAAGAAATTTTTGGATGAATTTCAGTCTGTTTAAATGGTATAGAGCAGTGGTATTCAACCTGGGGTACGCAAAGACATCTTAGGGGGTACGTGAAATTTAAAATATATATATTATTTTGTGATAAACACCGAATAATCAGTAATGTAATTTATTTTAGATGTAGATTATATACTATGTATAACTTGAATTATACACCAACAGCTTTGGGGGTACAAAGTTGAAGAGAAATTATATTTGGGGGTACGCAAACAAAAAAGGTTGAATACCACTGGTATAGAGTGTGTGCATGTACGGGGATATCATTTGAAGCACCTCGTATGGAACATTGATTTTATTGTTTTTATGGAGCAGTTTGTATCTGAAAAATCTTGTATTTGATGGTGAGTCATGAGGTTCTTGCTAGGAGATGGGAAGTGACAGTTGCATTCAACTCTTCTTCAACAGAAATTTGTTAAGACTCACAGAATTCAACTTAATGTCACAATTTCTGACAGTGTAATTTCTTTAATATGTTGCACTGTTTTTGTGCACATATTCTTTGGTGTACAAATGTTCATCCATATGGACATTTTTATTTTCAGTTTCATGTAATACTCTTATTTTTATATGAAATCTGGTGACAGGGATATTTCCAAGACTGAGGATATGGAGACAGCTTTGAATTCAGGAGCAAGTATTTCAATTATGAAACCATTGATTGAAATGAAAATTCCAAGTCTAGATCCTTGTCAGATAATTGTTTTTGGTTGTGGCCTCAATAAGCAACAGCATAAACAGCTCATGACTTTGATACAGCAGTTGAAACTCAAGATGGTGCAGACTTATTCGTAAGTAGTGTTTGTATTTTGTTGTAATCATATTAATCATATCTTAGATATAATATGGTAGATGTTTTCAGACTCTTCATGTTTAATCTCCAGTTAAACATGTTATGAAGTAATGATCCACATCACATATGACAAAATAATAATAATACTTTATTTCCTGTAGATCAAAAATACATTGATATAGGATATGTCAATCTATATTATACATTATCAAAATACAATAATGATTATGATATAATCCCATTGGAGATGTAGCATTATACACATTAGATTATCAGTAGCCAATATTCGAAAATTATTCATTAAGATAGTCTTCTAGTGAATAGTAACAACCCTTAATAAGAAAGTCCTTCAATTCCTTCTTAAACTGATTGTTATTTCTTATTTGTTTTATTATGGAAGGCAGTTTGTTAGTAGAAGAAACAACCTGCTACTGACGGTTTACTATTATAAAGTTCTAACTTATGTACATATTTATGATAGTCATTATTATTTCTTGTTATATGTATGTACTTGTTTCTTTACAGTGCAGACACTTTTCTTATGCATATAAAATGGTTTCTTGAATGTATAACTAGTATACTGTTAATATCTTTAAATGCCTAAAACTATTTCTACACGATTCAATTGGTTTTAAACCTGCTGTGTACCTTACTGCCCTTTTTTGAAGAGTAAAAATTCGTCGAGTGAGTACTTTAGCACTCTGTCCCCATACGATGATTCCATAAGACAAAAAGAGATAAATTAAACCATAATACAACATTCTTCTTTCATTTAGATTAAGTATTTTAGAGAGTCTATTAATTATAAATAGGTTACGGCTAATTCTACTACACATTCTTTCAATATGTATTTCCAACTCAGGGAGCAATCAATCACAACTCCCAAGAAGTTAGTACTGTTAACTTTAACTATTTCTCTGTTCTTTATTAAAAAAAATTGATTACTTTCCTCCCTACATTGATGTGTGTTAATAATTAATATTAAAGTGTGACAACAGTATTTTAAGAAAATATTGATTTAAATTTATTGATAAATGTTTCAAAATTTGCGTATGCTGTTTAGCAGTAAAACTCTCCCTGGTATGAACATAGCCAGAAAATATGAAGTTCAAATCACAGCATTTTCAAATGATTTTTCTGTCAGTACATCTTTCACAATCATTCATGGTCTTGTAAACTCTGTGATAGCTGTGTGGAAATGAGCCAGAGGAAAAAAAAACTAAAGACAATAAAAATAATAAAGACATAGCCTATTTGTGTTTGTAGTTGCAGTGGGGAGGGGGGGGGGAGAGTGAAGGCAGGAATAGATCATCAGTGAAAAACTTTGAAAGTATATGTGATAACTTTCATGCAGCAGAAGTCTAAACTAGTGGCCCATAGATGCAGCGTGTTTCATTTTAAACACAATCCAAACTACTATACATGAATTCCATCACATACAAAGAACAAAACCAATGGCAGAATTTAATTCTTGCAGCCATATTCCATTGTTGCAGCGGAAGCATTGATTGAAATCGGTATGGCTGTAATTTCACCTGAACACTTGCAACAGAACACACTTCTTCTGAGTCCCAGAATTTTGTTACCAGTCAGTGCTTCATTGTATTTGGTACTTGTCAGAATACACATTGCTAAATGTTTCACAAACAGCAGGAAATTATTTTGATGCAAAGTAATGTTTGAGAATAAACACATTCTGGTTGTGAATATACAGTGAAACCTCGATGCATCGTTTTCGGCGGGGGTGGGAAAATAAAACGATGGATACGGGAAAACGATAGATGCGGGAAAGCATTAAAAATTTTAAAAAAAACAATGTTTCTCTTTCAAAGTTACTTCTTTTTACCAAAAAAGTCTTTTATGGACAACTGGTTTGTCGAAACTTTACGTTTTGGGCCAAACAGAGCCCTTTCCACGTTCAGAATGTTTTCCTCGTCACGTTCACTAATATTACGCGCATAAAAGAACGACTTCACGTTTGCCAATGCTTCGGCAAAACTCGGCACAGCTTCGGGCTCGCATTCGCCGTCTTCCTCACCACTCCCGCCCCCCTTCGCGGACCATAACAGGAAGAATGGAAATACTATTACTGCCGAACTCAACGAAACGTAGCTGTAGAAGACCCTGAACCACTGGAAACGAGATGAACCAGAAGAATGAAAAGTGTCGCCAGCCTTTCCTTTGTACTTGTAATAAAAGCATTTGTGAAGAAATTCACACTGCACATGCCATCTGGCATCGCTGGAACGAAATATGAGTGCACCCTAAATAAACTCGTAAAATTTCTGACAATGAGCACCGCCATTCGATCCAACTATCACCTCTGCACCTCTGTGCTGGTTGGGCGACATAACAGGTTACCGCTACTGTTTATTCCAAAAACATTGTGCGTCTTTCGGAATTAAATTCTAAAAATATCACGTAAATTTCGTTACAATTTCTCAGAAACGATCATTGCGGGAAAATTGTGTGCTGGGACTAAGATTTTTTAAGGATCGATGCGATAAAACGATAGTTCGAGGAACGATAGAAGCGGGAAAATGTAACATTATTTTATATGGGATGTATTCGGGACCGAACAAAACGGACGATGCATCCGGGAAAACGATAGTTCCGGGACCGATGGATAGAGGTTTCACTGTACTTTCTTCACACCTGCAGAGCTTTTGTGCAAGTGGTATGAGCAGCGATGTAGACCTAGAAACCAGGGTGATGTTGGTTGAAGTGTGGTGGTGGGGGTGGGAGAGAGTATTATATAGGGGTGAACCTGCTTATGATTTTATTTTTGTACAATAGTGTACTATTATTTTTGGTTTGTGTTTTAAATGGTACATTCTGTACATGAATGAAATCATTTGAAGAAAAATAGGCATTGAAGTTCTTCCTAGATCTTGCTGTTACTTGTCTTGCCCTTATAATTGCTATGAGCTGAAGAGATTATGTCAAAATGTACTTTTACATTCAGAATTTTGGTGTTTATTCAGGTCTGAAGTAACTCACATTATAGTGCCAACAGATCCAAACAATGTGTGTTCTGCAGACACTGACATTATTCAGGGAATTCTTCAGGGTAAATGGATTGTGAATTGCAAATGTGAGTGATTTTCCTGTTTATAAAATGTCTGTAAAATTTATAAAGCATGTTAAAGTTGTGAGGAATTGTACTTTCTTGTCATTAACTTTGAAGGATGAGATAGCTTTCTGTTCAAAGGGTAAAGTTGTGAGTGCATGAATCTGATGACTCATCTTTCACCTAAGCATTGCCTGAATGCTTCCTGTATGTTATAATGAAGTGACACTGAGATGCAGGTGTAAAATTTCTTTGGGTAAGGGTCAACCTTTTAAGGACCAATGGTCAGTATATTGACACAGAAATGTTCATCTTTGGTTAATTACATTCATTTTGAGAGGTAATTTCTGAAAGAAAAATTGGTTTGTCCCCACAGAGGAGCAGGCTTCACTGACGTATATTGCAAGGAATATGGGGCCATGTGGGAAGTATCAGTGAAATAAAGTTTCACACAAAAAGGGCATAAGGAATTGCAATCTTAGTGGGTTATAAATGTAATCTTTTGGAGAGCCATAGGTCACATTTTTATACAAGTATTTCTTGGGTTTAGTATGAAAGTTATGTAATCTGCTCATAATGCTCACAAGTCTATTGTGATTTTATGTGACATTTAGAGGATTTAATTGAAATTGATTTAAATGAAGACAAATCAGGAAAATAAGAAAAAACCAGGTTATTTTGCTTGTTCAGGTCTCCCCTAGAGATGCATATTATTATAATCCATAAATAACTAAGCTTCCATTATACAATGAATTGCATGCCTGTGACTAACTCACCTCACAGTGTTGCATTATAAGACATTTTCTTCCATGAGACACTTGAAGTGTCGGCTTTTGTAACTCTTTTCATAAATTTAATGGTTCTAGTCGAAGTTCTTGCTTTTAATTGATTTGTTTCTGCCAGTACTTTCGTTCTATTGTCTTAAATAGCAGAACTGCTTGTTTACAGGGTTGGATGTATGTTTGAAAATGAATGAGTTGATACACCCACAAGAGTTTGAAGTGAAAGGAACAAGTCATTTTCCTAATAGTGAAGCTCCAAAGAGGGGAAGGATGAATGCAGATAAGCAGGTTATTATTTCATAATTAAACCTTAAGTGTGTTTAATATAAAATGTTCCTGTCTCCCCCATTTCCCTTCCTCTAATCCTGTCTGTTCTTGTTGCTAGGGTACCTTATTAAGATATATGCATAAAGCCATTTATGTCCACAACTGCTTTATTGCTAGGCATACCTTATGAGGTTTCATGTCCAAATAAATCTCTTTGATGGGGCCTAAAGGTATCGATGATAGTGTATTATAATTGGTAAAATTGTTTTCTTGTATTTTGTCCATCATCTAAATTATAGATTATAAAATTGCAACATTTCAGGAGCTGGATTCTACTTCTGTCTTCAGATAAAATGGTTGGAAAGAGGTCAGAAAGCCTATCTGTAAGGCCCCTGGTTGTACTAGCCTCAGTTACTATATGTTGCTAGTTCCTATATTTTCATAACCAAAGGGATTTTTTAAAAAGTGTTTAATTGATATAGCTTGCAAAAGCATGTTTGTTCAAAAAGTTTATTTTTATTGCAGGCAAAGCTATCAGTATATAACTGTAGCCTTCATTAATATCAATATCATTGGAGGCTTGCTACATTGGATGTCTTTGTTGTTAATGGCAGCCTTGGAATTTACATTTTTTAGTCCTCTATCCCAGACGGGGGCAGAGGAATTATCCTTGTGAAACTGAATAAATAGTTTATTATCTTGGTGAAGAAGCATACGTATTTTACAACATTTATTATTTACAATACTTTTTTGATGACAACAGAGAAACTGTTTCAGCTTCCAGGTATCTTCAATGGATGTCATATTTACTTGGCTGGTGTTGGAGCTACATATATGTTTGACAGTATCAAGCTAAGCAAAACAGATGTTGTGAAATTAATCCAAAGTGGAAATGGAGTGGTGTTAACAAGGGAACCAGACCCAGAAAGTATTCCACCCAAGGAATGTACTGTTCCATACCATGCTTCACGGAGCAGTTCATTAGCAAAATGTTCACATTATGTTATTTACAGGACAGGCAAAGATGAACCCAAACTGAAATATAATATGACCCATATCAAATCTTTATCAGTCCAGTGGTTATTTGATTGTATGGAAAGTTTCCATTTAATGGAACCCATGTAATACTTTGGGGTACAGTCAACATTTTTGGGGGCATTGTAAACTTAAGAAGGAAAATAATTTCTTAATTTACACAGTAGATATGTTCCAGATAAACATGTAAATGAAGAGATAATTTTCCATAAGAGGGTTTAACTCCCAGGTGATAAGAATTGTGAACATTTATTCATGTTAGATGTTTATATAATTGTGTATAGTATTATGTTAATGTTTGTCTTCAAAACTATCCATCAATAATACATTGCCTGTTAGAGACAGTGTAACTGCTTTTCAGATAAAACCAAAATGATTCAGGCATAAATGAAGAAGTACAGTTCTTTAACTGTTCCAAACTGAAGTTTATAAAAGGAGAAGTGATTGTAATAAGGTGAATGGATGTAAGATTTAAAAACATTTAATTCACCTTGTTTTTCATGGCATTTGAAGGTTAATAGAAATGTTTGGTATATCATGTTAGAAAAAATGTATTGCAATATTTAAGATTTGATTTAAGCAGTTACGAGTCTTTTACTTTAATTCTGTATTTTCTATCCTGATACAGCATTTAATGGTGTTTATTTCCTGAATTGATATGACATACAATCACATAGGATTGAGTTGGTGACATGTTATGCTGTGGCATATAGTTTCCAAGATTGTGTCATTTACCTTTGAACTTGTTAGCCCATATGCCTTGTCCTTTATTGAATATTATTACTGCTACTTCCCATCAATATATATATATATATGTTTAAATTTACTTGTGCTCAGCTATGTGTTATATGAATAAATGTAGAAGCATTGCTACATTGTTTTTGTTTTTTGGTGACTTCAAATTAGTGATGTAAGTTATATTGTTATGTAATTATTATGCTGCACTTTTTCCCACCACTCTCCTAAAATAATGGAATTTGAAGATGAAAATTGGTGTTTCAGTGGTACTGCCTCCCTAATCAGGGCATTACCCCAATGGAGGCAGTAAGCACCTCTTTAATATTGGTCAGTCATACTACACAGCATAATATCCTAGAAGACGACCAGATTTTTAAAATTAACCATTTGTGTGTGGGTAATTACCATTTTACTAACTGCTATCTGTACACAAGGTTATTCCGCTCGGATAGATAGCGCAATATTTACATACGTTGCCAACTTATACAATTGAGTTGGCACGAGTGACGCGTTAAAGAAGGCTTAAGCAATATGATAAATTAACCGTTCAGAAGCTGTAAACGTAGTTAAATCATGCAATGCTCTGAGAATTTGGGGGGTTGCCGAATCACACAGTTGTCATTTGGTTGAACGATGGGCAGTGGTGAAGCATGTAATTGTGTTGTTTTGACTTTGTAGATGTCTTTGCACGTTGATTGGCATCTCTCAAACTGAAGCAGGCATTTGCTATGACTCGTGGATTTACGTCTCCTTGCTTCTAATGGTATGTAAATATTCTCATCTACTAGGTTTTCCTTTCTAGGTGAACTACGAATGTGTTGGACATCTCTCGTTTATTCTATACAAAGAGATGAAACGGCCATTCTTCTGCTACATTATATCAGTTTGGTTAGCCTTGCAATAAGTAAACATTAAAATAGCAGTATCAAGTACTTTTCGAAGCGTGATGCTGGGCGTGCTAATGTGTAGTGGCGTTTGTTTGGTCATAAAAACACCATAGAAATGCATTCAAACATGTTTATCTCAGAACTTTATTGTTGTAACATCAGAAGAATTATAAGGGCTTTGACATTGAATATACAGAAGAACCATTACGGAAGTTCGAATTTAAGAATTGTTAGGTTAAAAGTTAATACAAGAGATTCATTAAAATTTACATGGATTTGTTCAACAATACGGCAATTTTACTTTGCATCAAATTCCACATTGATACTGTCGAATAGTGCTGAGCTCGTGAGAAACGGTACTAGGAATCTGTCAGTACAGAAAACGTTAGAGCACATTCCTGCAATTACCAAAACGCACATAAGAGGAACCCTACAATACATCATGTGGGTTCTGTGGAAGATTTTAGACATGTGTCAAGTATTGTTTAGGGTTGTTCAGTTAACCTGTGTGTTTTTGCCCCTGGTGCTTCTGTATCCTATGACACTGATCAATGTACGTTTGAAGAATTCGTGGTATAAATTACTGCGTTTTGGTAAGAATTTATTTAATTTAACTGATCTTTAAACTTGTCTGGTATGTGAAAGTTCTGGTGATGTTTTTTACTACAAATTACACTGGATGCCATTACCTTCCTTTGGTTTTTAGGATATGTTTATTGAAACCTTCCAACACAATTTTCCAGCTCTTGTAACCCCACTTACCTCTTCACTGCAAAATATGTATGCATCACCACTCCAGGTGCACTAAATTGTGAAATGTTACCAAGACACTGATCTCTCACACTTAAAAGAGAAGCTAGAAAATCACATGAAACCATCATTATACACACTTAAAAATAACTTTATGAAATAGTAATCAGCATAAAATCATATACAAACTATAATATAGCAATTGAAGTATCTTCCCTGACACATTTTTTTATGTGACAAAAGTTCTATGAACTGAACTACTGCTAATCTAAGAACATAACTGAACACATTAGCACATATCACATACTTTTAAAGAAACTGAAATGCTTGTAACCTATGAAACATAAAAGTTGCACCATTCAACTGTTATGCATGAGTCATGTTAATTTCCATCATTGTACAAATACTGTGTATGCATATGCATAGTCACATTTGTCATAAGTAGTTTTGGAGATGAAACGTGCAGACTGACAAACATGATCTCGCCTTTATGTGTTCATTCTTTGCACTTTGTGCACAGAATGCATAAGAAATATGATTTATATGAATGACAATGTAGGAATATGTTGTGTAACAAAAACAGAGTTTCTTTGATGTTACAAACAGTTGTATCTGTTTTTAGGTACTTAGAAAAGAATTGAAAAATTATTTCCACACAATTAACATGATACACATTCTTTTATTTTGTTTATAGTGGAAAAGGATATTTGAAAGACTGCTCTCTTTGTATAGATTTGGAGCTTTCTGGCCCAATATTTGTGAAGCTGGGTCAGTGGGCCTCAACTAGGAAAGATTTGTTTACAGAAGAGCTGTGCTGTTGTTTGGCAAAGCTCCAGAGAAGAACATCAGCTCATTCATGGTATTATACAAAGAGGTCTTTAGAAAGGGCTTTTGGGCCTCACTGGAAGTCCATATTTGTCAAGTTTGATAACAAGGAACCAGTTGGTTCTGGCTGCTGTGCTCAGGTAAATACCCCTCTCCCCTTCCAATTTATGTTGGCTGACTTATTTTCTTTCCATTTCAGAGCCCCAGTAATATCCATATTCCATCATTTATTAGTTGTTGAAGGTTTGAAGATGGCTGTCTTCCAGTTTGTTGCTCCGTGTATTCTGGTAGATTTTACTAGTGTTTCAAAAGTGTTTGCTGCCTTCTTCATCAGGGTGATGAGCACCTGGTGGTAAGCTCCTCTGAAATATCAATAACCTTCTGCCATACTACATGGCGCACCAACCCTGAAGACAGTCATCTTTATACTTGCCACTGTGATAACCAGAATTTCTCAATAATAAGTTTGGTTGTACATTTTAGTTTGGCTGTGCTGTGCTAGTTTCCAGGATCTGATCAGATCAGTAACACTTCTATTGCTATAGCAAAACTCTGAATATCTTGGCATGATGTTTTATATGGTTGCAACTATTTGTTGGTCAGAATTAAAAATTCCCTCCACCTTCCTTATAGTACATACTGAACAGATCAAGAAACATTTTGGCTACCTTTTAAGCTATTAGTAAACTAGCTCTTATGAACAGATGCTATAAATTTTTCCCCCAAAATGATTAAATGTGCAGCTAGAACTGTTGCATTTATCTATTTGTATTACGTGGTGCATTTAAACGTGGTAGGGAGAGGTTTGGGAAACATGAAATGTTTTAATGGCATGATTGTTTGGTGAAAATAGATTTATTTTCCTGAATAGAGACTTGTTGTATGAATGATTCTCAGAAGTAAAGTTGAATGTGGTAAATTGTCATTTAGGTAATTGCTGAGGAAGAACAAATTACAGTTTTATATAATTATTATTATACTGTTGATGACAATTTTTATTTGATTTTCTCCAGGTATACAAAGCATGGATTGATCCAGAGGCACTAACTGCTTATGATGGAATTGGTCCCTGTAATGAGGATTATGCAGATTCTCTCTTTGTTGAAGGTAATGCACCAAGTTGATGGGTGTATACACCCGAAACATGTAGTCATTGTAAGTGTGAGTGAGAGAGTGTAGTTGTACATGTGAACCCCACTGTGTAAAAGATGGACAAATAATATATAATAATTGTTTTTTTCACGTATAGTACTTGACATGTCTATAGTAATGAAAAAATTCTGCTGTTATGAAGGTAACATTTTTGTAGAATGTGAGAAGTTTCATGCCTGTGAGAAAATGGTCATAAACATACCTACAAATTGTGCATAAATTTTTTTTGTAAGTCAGTGGTTCCAAGTATAACAGTGGTGTGAAACATTGTAGTTCCATCCAACAAGTTTAACAGACTTTGTGTATAAGTAACAAGTTCTTCCCAAAATTAATATTAAATACTAATAGAACCTAATAATATTAGTAATGTTCTAGAACAAGTTTAGGTTGAAAACCAATATAGAAATATGATCTGAGAGGAATTCATTGTACAGCCATCTGAGTAAAAGCCTAGAATGCTATCTCATGATTACATTGTATTTCCTTGCTAGATTATAAGCTTACATTAATTATACCTAACATTAATAACAAGCAGGCTGTATGGCTAGAAATCTGTGCAGTAGGAAAGCAGGTTTTATGAATTCCACCAATACTTGTGATTATGTAATGTTCTGTTGTTTATTTTTTTAATAGGAGGTTTAAGTATAAAAGGTGTTTCTGACATCTATCCGGTACACACAGTCAGCTTACCATGCTAAAACTGGCAT